ATCCCCAGCTCTCTTTATTTTTTATTTTGAGATAAGTGTCTCACTAAGTTGCTGAGGGCTAGCCTTGAACTTGCCGTCCTCCTGTCTCAGTCTATAAGAGTACTGGGGTTACAGGTGTGTGCCACAGCACCAGGATTCACAATAACAAACTTTGAAAGCTTAAACCATCATATTTTTTTTATTGCCATCCTTCTGTGGGTTGATGGGTTCAACCAGGTGTTTCTCCATATGATGTTGGCCAGGACTGCAGTCATTTGGGGATTCAGTTTGGGGGGCTAGGATTTTGATGGCTCATTCGCTCTTACCAGTTTGTATTGTCCTTGCTGAATTCTTAGAATGGACAGAATTTTAATACACTAATGATCAGTTGATTTAGACAGTATATTTAAAACTACAATTCTCTAATTAGTGTTGTCAGAATTGGAGGTTTCTAGCCCATTGTTTCTTGCTCTCTGTCATTGATTTTGGGGCAGTAGACAGATTATTCCTTGTCTTCTCCCCATTCTTTCTGTATCAGTTGGGAGAGTCCTCATAGAAGCTGTGCTGCTGAGGTCCCAGCTGTCTTTTCATTCTGATAGTTTGAACAGATAGCTTTGTCCACACCTCACAGCAGCTTTGATTCAAATGCTCAAAGGGAGAAGAACCTTAGACCAGGAAGTTGCTTTAAATGGAGTCCAATTTAGGTTACTCTTCTCAGAGAAATAAAAAGAAACCTTGTTTCTATAGAGCAGACAGTATAGATAAGATTTAGGGAAAAAGTTGTTGCTGCCTCTCTACGGATGGAAGGTGGGAGGCAATAATGGAAGAAACCCAAAAGGCCAAAGAAGAGCTGGGAAAACAAACAAAAACTCAACGCCTAAATGGTAGGGAAATGCAAATATTTCTCCAAAGATAAACACTACACCTTCTCTGTCATACCTTTCTGTTTAAACATAGTCAAGTGCAGTAGACAAGTGTGGCTGGAAAGATTTGTCTGGACACAGAGTGAACAAGAGAACAGGGAGTGGGCCTTAATCTTTCATCAGCATTGTCTTCATCTGTTGTCACCACTCCCCTACCTCCTCCCTCTGATTTGGTAGATCTGAATGGGGCCAGATAATTTCTTTTCTTTTCCCTCCCTCTCTTTTTTTCTACCTTCCTTCCTTCTTGATCTCCTCCTCCTCCTCCTCCTCCTCATCTTCTTCTTTTTAGAGCTTTATGGTTACACATAGTAGTTGGTGTCATCCCAATACATTCATGAAAATTTGCATTTATAACAAATTCCAAAGTAATGCTGATGCTGCTGACCCGGGAACCACACTTTGAGAACCATTGAACTGTATTGGAGGAGAGCACAACTCTTTTCTGTAAAGGATCAGATAACATTTTAGGTTTACAACATTTTAGGTTTTAGGCCACATGCTGTTACAAGTGCTCAACTCCTGTTTTAACCTAGTAGCCATAGACAATATTCAGATAAGCTGTGTGTTAGCTTTCTGTTGGTGTTACAAAATTCCTGAGGAAGTCAATGTAAAGGAAGAAAGATTTATTTTGGCTCATTGTTTCAGAGGTTTCAGTCCATGGTTGGTTGGCCCTGTTAAGTTGGTGCAGATGTAAGGATGATCGTCATGAGGTAGAGCAGAGCTACTCACCTCATGGTGGAGGGGTCAGAGATATCCCCTAACAATACACTAAAACAACTCTTTTGATACCATTTACTTTGTACTGTTTATTATAAGTAATGCAGATATGATTTGAAGAGTAAGGTATGCATAACATATGTGCAAATTCTATCCCCACTTATATAAGGGACTTGATCATCTTTAGATTTTGGTATCTACAGAGGGTCTTGGAATAAGAGACAAGTGAATAAGTAAACAGGCATGTTGTGTTTTTGTAAAACTTTACTTATGAACACAGGCTTTAACTATGTAATTTTCACCTGTCATGACATTGTTATTTGAACTTTTTTCAATCATTAAAAAAAGTAGCAACTTGGGATTGGGGATGTGACTCAGTGGTAGAGCACTTGCCTAGCAAGTGTGAGGCCCTGGGTTCAATCCTCAGCACCACATTAAAAATAAATAAAATAAAGGTATGGTATCCAACTACAACTAAAAAATAAATATTAAAAAAAAAGTAGCAACTGTTCTTAGCTCATGGGTGGCTGGCAGGTTTTGACCCTTGGGCTGCAGCTTGGGACTCCTGAACTAAAGGGAAGATTTGGAAGCACCTGCTGTGATGTGCTCTTGGAGACCAGGTGTGAAGACCTTTCTTCAGAAAACTCCCAAGTGCTGGATAAAACAAGAAGGACTTTGGTTCTTTTATTCATTTTTACTCATCTGCCTCACTTTTTGCCATTTCCACCATCTAACACTAAATATCATTCTCATTTTTAAAGTTTTAATTTCTAGAAATTGTCAGCTTCCAGAGTTGGTAAAAACACGGTGTTTATAATTGGGATTGAGGAAGTGGGAGGAGGGGATTCCATGTTCTTCCTGGTGAATTTGTAAAGCAGCTTCATCAAGTACCTTGGACTTGATCATTTAATCCTCATTATATAGAGGAGGAGTTGACAAACATTTCCTAAATGGCCAGAAAATAAATGTTTAAACCTCACAATAAATAATGACCCCATACACTGTTTTAACTGTCCAATCTGCCTTGTAGCTGGAAAGTGGCTCTAGAGGATACTTAAAGGATGGGGCTCGCTGTGTCAGTAAAACTTGATTTACAAAAAAATGCTGGGTAGACCAATGGGCAGTAGTTTGCAGACCCTTGTTTCAGAAATATTCTTGAAAAGGGGTAGAGTGTTTAAAATCTGGTGGCCAAGTCCTTGCTGGGGCCCATGCACTCACTGCAGGGATTTCTGAACTTCCTGCTGAGGAATTCTGATTGTCCAGCTTGGGTGGGGCCATTCTTGAGAGAACAGATGGAGGTGTGGCCCTGACACTGTTTGGAGAAACTAGATTGTTTCTGGATTGGTGTGGGTTGGCCAAGCTCCTTTGATCTGATTGTTCATATACATATTTGGCCACATGATTAAAAATGACGTATGAAAAGGAGATTGTTAAAAGTATTTAAGAGGTCTGGGAGCTCATGCATTTGACAAGTTGTCCATTTTCATTTGCTTTTCCTTTTGAAAAGTTATTAGTGGCCTCTGTTTATTCTCTCTGACTTTCGTGCTGAAAATGGAACCCAGAGCCTCATGCACATGCTCTACCACTAAACTGCATGCCCAGCCCCTTTCTGTTCTCTTATAAAAACTTTTTTGTTTTATGGGCAAACAAGGTTGAATTTTTAAATTCAAGCCAGTAGGTGAGGCTCTATAGTTTTTTTCATGGCTTTTTTTTTTTCTTTTTAATTTATCAAGAGACTTTTAACTCAGAAACATGCCCATAAGGGGTTTCACAGAGGTTAACTGATTTGATTTAGGTTCATGATTTTTTTAGTATGTCAGATGCACATAATCAAACAGTAGATAAAACACATTCTGAAGCCTAAATTAAGAAGAGTATATTAATGTGTTTGTTTGATGTGGTGTATCTCCTACTGCCTTCTGTTGCCTTCCCAGTTCACATGAATTCTGAAGTTGGGGATAGGAAAGTGTTTGAAGAATCTGGCCATCTTAAACTCTGGCTCTGAGTTATTGATCTCAGTCTTCATAGTCTTGTCACTTCTCTCCAGATCGGTCCCTTGTCATTCAGCTGCAGTGGTTTCTATACCCCTGGAGGCCAATGATGAAGGGCCTTGCAGGTCTGAAGGCTCAGTGTTTGCTTTTCTTTCCTCCTGGCTGTCTTCTTACTCTGGCAGCATTTGCTCCTGCTGGGAGTTGAGGGTACTTTTGACTTTGCTGACTTTTGCTTCTGTACAGCTTCCTGGGCAGCCAAGACCTGGGTCATAGTGAGGGGCTTCCTTTTTGTAAGTTGTAGTCTGAGATGTCTGCCACCATGGCAGCATCCATGATTCAGCTCCAGGCGATGGCCATCAGCCATGTTTCAGTGCACAGCAGAGCCAACAGGAGGAGAGCAGATGGTGGTGTACTGTAAGGTAGAATGGTTGTAGAAAGAATACATTCACCACCTTTTCCTCATAAAGTAGGAAAGATGGAATCCAGAAGTGGTCTGTTACTCATCTTTCCACCCCTAATAATAGTCAGCATTTATGGAGCAATTACTATGTTCCAGTTGTGGTTCTAGGCACTTTTCATATATTAACTCATTTGTCCTCATGATAACCCCCGTGAGGTGATCAGTGAGGCCCAGGCAGTTCCTGTGGCTCCTGAGAGGTGGGGCTGGAGTCCATATGGCTATGTGCTTTCAGTTTGTTCTCTTAACATTACCCTGAGCTTTCTGGTGCTCACACCACATCTTACTCAGGGGAGTTGCTTAGTATTTTATTGACTGGTGAAGGAAGGAGATTATTAAAACAATCATCTGTATGTTTCCCTTGAAGTAAGGGAATCAAGTCTTTTTTCTGCTTTCAGACTTACGGTACACCTACCTGCCAACTTTTATCTGCTGGAATAACACCAGGTCTTGCAAGGGTCCCATCTGAAAATATATTCTTAGGGGAGTTAGTATATGACTATGATAGCTGTTCAAAGCACGAGATTAAAATTCAGTTATTCGGTGGGGGGGGTTGCTAGCCATTAGAGGGAGAAAGAAGCTGTACTCACTGTATTTCTTTACTCTTTACATCAGAAAGGATTTCCAAATGTATGAACAATTTTATTTATTTATTTTTTGTAATGGCAGTTTAATTAATTAATTGATTATTTTTCATGCAGCTGGGTGCGTGCAGTGGCACATGCCTTAATCCCAGCGGCCCCGAGAGGCAGAGACAAGAGGATCATGAGTTCAAAGCCCACCTCAGCAAAAGCGAGATGTTAAGCAACTCAGTGAGACCCTGTCTCTAAATAAAATACAAAATAAGGCTGGGGATGTGGCTAAGTGTTTTGAGTGCTCCTGAGTTCAGTTTCCAATATCCCAATAAATAAATAAATAAATAAATATTTTTTTTTGAAGTGCTGGGGATTGGACCCAGGGCCTCTTGCATGTTAGGCAAGTGCTGTACCACTGAGCTACACACCCAGCCCTGGATGAATAAGTTTAAACATGAAACTGTATATAGTCAGCCTGCTGCATCTTCAGGTCCTGCATCAGAGGATCAGAGGATTCAATCAACTGCTGATCAGAAAATATTTGAAAAAAAGTATGTCCCATGAAATGTGTGACTACTCACAGGAGGGGAGAAGGGTAAAGATTATAAGTAGTTTCAAATGATTTTCATCAGACCTTGGTTTGATCAGGTCAGATATTGTTGCTGGAAGAGTTTGTTTTGTTTTAATCTCCTTGGGTTTTTTGGATTTTGGAATTGTGGATAAGGGATTATACATCTAGATAAGAGTTTGTAAACACAGATGGATGTTTAAGGGTATTCATGGCAGTCTTGGTTGAAATAAGCCTGGAAAACCATGACTGCCCCTCCGGAGGAGATTGGTTAATGGTCCTGATACACAATTGTGCTGTATTTAACTCTTTAAAAAGAATGGAGCAAATGGTGTCATCTTGTTTGGACTAAAAATATATTGATGCTTTTATGTGCATCAAGTTACTTCTAGAGTGACATCTAGATCAGTGGCTGCATATTTAAAGCCCCTGGAGAGATAAAATAATAATACCTGGGCTTAACCCCATTGCATTAGGAATGCAGGGGTGAGGCCCTAGAACTGGTATCTTAAGGTACTCCAGGTGATTTTGATATCCTTGAGATTTGAGGACCACTGGTCTAGAAGGATAAGACATTAGAAAATACTTTGAAGTGGGAGGTGGGAGATGTAATTTTGTACAGTACTATATAAAGTAATCCCCTCTCCTATTTGTATTACTAATATTTTTTTAAACTATTATGAAGAGAAAAAAAGTAAAGGACTCTTGTATGATTCACATCTGCTATTATAGGCAAAGAGATTTTTAGCAGGTCTGTACTCTTCTAGAAATTTGATATTTCTGAGCATTACTCTCTTTTACTATATACAGTGTTTGCTGATGTCAGTTGATAACTGAGTTAAGAACCCAAAATACCAGAAGTGGATGAAAATGGCCTGAGTGGGCACTGGGCTCAGGCATCAGTCTTTCATGGTCATGCTGAGACACTTTATTATAAATGATTCAGCTAGATTGCTTATCCTTCCCACCAGGCTCCCACACTAGTAGCTAAGCTAATTAAGAAAGAAGTTGCCTTTTTCTTTTTTTTGATAGTTTAGCTGATATATTTGACTACATGGAAAATAATATTGATAGGTAAAAGTGATGATAGAGCCATAAGAAATAAGTAAGTTTTTATAAACAAGGCTTTCAATGAGGAAAAACAAAAAGGTTGTAAAAGAAATGATTTGTATTTATAGTATACTACTTGGCTCTTCTATGAACTATGTATTTTGTGTAATAATGGAAGTATTGACTTGATTTAGCTAAAAGTTGTTCTGTCATTGTGCTGGGAAGATGGGGAGATGATATGAGAGAATTAAATACTTGGTCTGCCAAGATGAGAAGACAGTGACCAAAACAAAAGTCAGTTTATGTACAGAAACTTAAAATATACTCAGAAACATCTTATTTAGAAATATGGAGCAGTACATCAAAAGAAACTCGAGACCTGACAGTGATGGCCTTTGGGTCATAAAAATAGAATGGGCAAGTGTGTGGCAAAGGCTCATTGACTCATAACCTTTTTTAAATTTTATTTTTATTAGAGCTTTATAATTAGGCATAGTAGTTGGTTCATTTTCACAAAATCATATATATGAGGAATTTGATTTCAGTCCCCATTTGACCCTTCCCTCCCCTTTTCCTCCCCTATTCTCTTTCCTTTACTGATCTTCCTCTCACTCATTTATCTATTTATCTTTGATTGGAATTTTCTATATAAAGGTGAAATTCTCTTTGGCACATTTGTATGTGCATGTAACATGATTCTGTTAGAGTCATTCAATTGTTCTTCCCTTTCCCATCTTTCCTCTTTCCTTCTCATCCTCCTACTCCACTGATTTTTTTCCTGTATATTTATGATATCTGATCCTCCACTCTCCCCACATCTTCTTCCCCTATTTTGCTCTAGTTTCTACATATGAGAGAAAACATTTGATCTTGACTTTCTGAGTCTGGCTTATTTTACTTATATTCTCCAGTTCCATCCATGTACCCGCAAATACCATTTTTTCATTTAAGAAGATGCCTTTTGATGGTACATTAGGACTGCCAGCTTACTGTCTTGTAGCTTAGTCCCTGGTGGCCTCTTTCCCCCTCCTTCTTCCTCTTCTCCCTTTCCATCCTCCTCTGCCCCATCTTCCTTACAACATCTACCTCCTCCTTCCTCTTCCTGCCCCTTCTCCCTGTTTCTCTTCTTCTTTTTTCTCCTGTTTTCTTTCTCCTTTCTTTTTCGCTGCTTCTTTCCTCCTTCTTCTGTCCCTTCTGCCCCTTCTCCTCACCCTTCCCTTTCTTCTTTCTTCCCCCATTCCTCCTATCCATCTTTCTTTTTCTCTTTCTCCTCCTTCCTGCTTCTCCTTTCTTTGGCATAGAAGGGCCTCTATTCTCTGAGATCATTTATTGCAGTTATCAACTGACTTTATCACTCTGATAAAGTTCTGTTTTATCTGGCTCAGTAAAATTGGCAAATATCAACTTTCCTTGTTCTTGCTGACCTCTGCTCACATCCAGCCAGATCTGGTTTGGGGTTGAAGTCCATGGACAAAATTGCTAGAGCTCCTCTGTTGTGTTTTTGTGCACCCTATTTTTGCTAATACTGCTATGTGGCACATCACATGGTAGTATCTTTATCAAAGGGTTAAAAAAATACTTCTCTTATTAGGCATCAAGTAAAATTCTCTGTGGTGAATCCTGAGGTATGTATTCTTTCCAAGGTGAGATGGGTGTACTTCATATCTGCCATTTATAGAAATGATTGTGAAGACAGTTTCACATGTCAAGGAGCACATGCCAGTCTATGCTTCCTGACAAGATGGTTTCCCTGAGGGTGGCAAGGATCAGTGTTACCCACTTTGGGGATTGTAATACTAGAACAGAGGTTTGTTTACCTGTTTTTACTCTTGGGTGTTTCCTTTGTTTTTGTTTTTTGCAGCTTCTTAACCCCGGTTTTGAGATGATGGGATTGGGAAACGGGCGTCGCAGCATGAAGTCGCCGCCCCTTATTCTGGCTGCCCTGGTGGCCTGCATCATTGTCTTGGGCTTTAACTACTGGATTGCGAGCTCCCGCAGTGTGGACCTCCAGGTATTATGTCTGTTTATTTTTGTGGGTATGGATGCCATTGAGTATTTAACATTGTTGGGTGATGGTCCCAGGGGTTTGCTGTTAATTGTCACCCATGGTGCTCAGTGTACACTCCATGATAGGGGTTTTGGGCTCTACATCTGCTCCAGCCCAGCCCTGGAGCCGACTCTACTCCATTGCAGCTTTGGAAGGAGAGGACACCCTGTGATGGATTAGGATCACTGCCAAAGCCTCCCTCTGCTTTTCAATTGAGCATTTGGGTGGTTCTGGAAAGGCAGCCTGCTGAGGTTCACTGGCCACAGCCCATTTCCAGTCCTGGTGTCCACGTGGACATCAGAGAGTGATATTTACAATATATTTGGATGATGAGTATAAGAAATGTGTTTTTAAAGGTGCCAATAATAACTTTAGATTTCCTGTGTCTTATGGCCATTCATGGGTTAGAACAATGCAGAGCAAGGACAGAGACTCTTTAGTGAGGCTCCTCTGATCCCTCTTCTTCACTGGGCCTTGATCCTGACCCCATCCTCACCCTTGTCTTTGATCTGTCCAACCCTGTTTTAGCAAAGAATCTGCTAGGTCATCTTATCACCCTGATAGCTGATCAAATTTCTCATCCCCCATACTTATGTCCAAGTCTTTGACCTGCCTTTAGCAAGAATCTTATTAAACCAGTTTAGTAAGAATACCCCTAACCTGTATGCTGCTTCTTAGTCATCATGCATCCTCTGAACCCTTCATTCTGCTCATTGGCTATACTTTCCAACCACTTTTGCTTTATTGAAAGTTGAACACAGTTTTTCTTTACACTATTATAAGTCACAATCTCTGTTGGAATAGTCATGAGTAAAGTTTTCCTGGTCATTTTAATATGTGTCAGAATAATTTTTATTTTTATGCAAATTGTCTCTTTTTGTGTTCAAGTCCTACAAAGTTGGGATTTTGCTTTCCACATTTCACAGGTGGGCAGAGTAGAACACACAGAGATTAAGTACAAGTAGAACAGGGATTCTGACCACTGGGTTCTTGGCCATGGAACTCCATCCCAGCTGAGCAGTCTCTGTTTTGTCCTCTCAAACTAGGATTGTGCTCTTTATCTGCCCAGGATTACAGTCCTTGTAATTGAGCTTCCATGGCAGCCCCTGTTCTCTGGGCAGATGAGACCTTGGTTTCTGAGGTTGGAGAATTGAATCTGTTTTCAGACATTTTCTTATGTGCAGCTAACAGGGCACGTAACTCTCAATATTAATGCCCCACCTCGGGCCAGGTAATGCACAGAACACTCTGGGTTTTTACTACATTTATATCTCATAAGGCCCTGTGAGGGTTGTAGTGATGGGTTTCCATGTTTCACTAGTAATGTGGAGGCTCAAAGAAGTGCATTCCTCTACTTAGAGCAGCATTTCTCCAGAAAATCCTCTTAAAGCACATAGCCTTAGGCACATATTCTGTATGTAAGGTGGGGTGCAGGGTTGGCTCCAGTGAGGTCTTTGAGAAAGCTGAGACAGTCTCCCAGATGGTACAACCTCACCCTTTGGTTTCCTTGTAGTCACGAATCCTGGAGCTGGAAGGCAGGGTCCGCAGGGCAGCTGCAGAGAGAGGTGCTGTGGAGTTGAAAAAGAATGAGTTCCAGGGAGAGCTGGAGAAGCAACGAGAGCAGCTTGACAAGATCCAGTCTAGCCACAACTTTCAGCTGGAGAGCGTCAACAAGTTATACCAAGATGAGAAGGTATGGTCTGCCTCATTGCCCTCATATTTCTCTTCCAAATGACAGTTTCTACCTTGGGTTAAGGTTTATGTCA